AAATACGTTGGGGATGAGATCATTTTCATTCATATAATCCTCTCCACACACTAAGATCTGTATCAACATTCTTCGTGTGCACAAGAAATTCACCAAAAATTCCAATTGACCTTGCCACTTCTAGAGATATGAAGGCCTCGATAAATTGAGAAAAAAGATGTTTTCTTCTTTCATGAAAACCATTTTTGTTCAGGTTTTCTTGCTATGAAACATTGGAAACTTTGGGAAAAGTAAAAACTAGCCTTTATGAAAAATTCTCTCTTTTGGAATGAGTGAAGAGATTTATACTTCGAAACTTAGAAAATGCAAATAATTGATTGGCATCCTAGAAATAAATGTGACACTCAAATCCAATATGCATTTCTGCACCTGATTTGTGTGGTGTCTTTGTAAAGAGGGATCTTCATTGCTTGTGATGGTAATGCAGTATTGAAGAATTAAGCGGAAAATGGAGAAAAGGTTCCCCTGGATTCATAATTTCCAGAAATTTCATATTGCTGCTCCTTTTGTGCAGCTCTTTATATTAGCTGTAAAATTGGTTCTAAGTCAGTTTTAAACTGAATTCATAGCTCAGCATGTTTAAATCAACTTCATACAAAATTCACTTTTTGTATGCTTGCTTATGTCTGACTGTGTTCTTGAATGTATGCCACTTCATGTAGTTGTAAAAAACTGTTTACAAATACTTTAAATGAACAATACTTTCTCGGTTGTAATGGACACAATGAAGTTACTATTCCACTGCTACTGATTATTTTGTATCCATGCTGAGATCAGAGTTCTTGGACTTCAAAATCATGTAGGAAACTACTTTTGAATTACACATTCCATTTAGCAATAAAATGCACTAGTCCATTTGTTTATTTTCAATGGGTACATGAAGCTGCAGGAAACATGGTGTTACGGTTTACATTTCACTATAGAGAAAATGTGCCTCTTAGAGTCCAGTACATAAAGAGAAGGAAGTAATTGTCATTTTGAGAAAGTACTAATTTTTGTCTTGATAGAATCATAGCAGTGTCCAATCTATTCAGCTACCAATAACTGTAAATCATTCTCTGTGAATTTAATCCAAAATAATTGTAGTCGGAATTGAAACCCAAGAATGGTTCAGTTCAGACTCTACCCTGCAGCCTGTCCTATTATTTTTTAGGTTAGTGAGTGAGAGGAAAGTAATCCTGACCATGCAGTGATGTCAAACCAGGCCCAGTACTGTCAGATGGTCAGCCTTACCCTGTTCTTTTTTTTGTAACAGTGGGCATCTGGCACAACATGGCTAGTGTCCAAGTCCTATTTCCTGAAGTGATGTCAGTTGGGCAACACAGCAGTGCAGCAGGGAGAAGGAGGAATCGCCACCTCCTTTGCCTTGTGTCCTGGCCGGCACCATTCCAGGTGACGAGCAACAGACGTTATCTGATACTATGATAGGAACAGCAGGGGGTCACCCAAACTTGGGGAATACAGAACAACTGTGTGAACAGGTGCAGCCAGTTCTGTCTTAGAACTGGAGTAGGTGCTGACACAAGCCCAAAGGCATGGTTTGCTCCTTATACTTGGGGAAAATTCAGAGCAACCCATGACTTTTAAAAATGTAGTTCAAGACTTTGGCCTGCAGTAACTTGAGTCAACCCCTTTTATTCATGATGAAAGTCTGTGTAGTCACTTGGGTTGCCAACTTATGGCAGCATTGAGCAGCCATGGTCAATTTTCTTAATTCATGGCATGACCAGATTTCAGGGCATTGTAAGGCCACTTCTGCCAGGCTTGTAGACTTATGATGAAGTAACAGAAAATAAAAGCAAAACGTTTGGTTTAGACTTTGCCTCTCTAACATCTAGTTTCTGTTTCCTTGATTCATAATTTGTTCTTCTGGGGGAGGGGACACTTTCCAGGCTGCATAATGCTGTGGGTTTGATGAAGGCAGTTTGTTACAGAAAAATGCTTCTCACTTCTGAACATGATAGATTGAGTGATGTGCCTAGATATAGGACTCGTGGAACATTATTTCCCCCATTTCCTTTGTAACCTGTTGTTAGAAGATATTCAGTTTAATACTGTGGTAGAAGCATTTTGGTAGTACTTGGTCTGCTACTAATAGTACACAACAATTCCTTTTTTCCTCTGTGTCACAAAGCAACTATTCAACATTTGACTGATGTCAGATGTGGAATACAATGCCCCATGAATACAAACTATAATAATATTGTAAAACCGCTTTGAGTCCCCCTCAGGGTGAAAAAAGCGGTATACAAATATTGTAAATAAATAAAAATAAATAAACTTCTTTGGAGACACATAGAGCATTTAATGCTATTTAAAAAGAAGTTATAATACACCTCCAACCATGTAAATGTTTTTTTAAAAGTTATAATACACCTCCAACCATTTAAATTAGGCATGGGCAAATTTTGGCTCTCCAAGTGTTTTGGACTTCAGCTCCTACAATTCCTAAAAACTTGTAGGCTATTGAATTGTGGGAGTTGAAGTCCAAAACACTTGGAGAGCCAAAGTTTTTCCATGCCTGATTTAAATGCTTGCTTGAGAAATGTTTTTTTGGTTGTTTGTTGTTAATTTGTTCAGTCATTTCCGACTCTTCATGACCTCATGGACCAGCCCACGCCAGAGCTCCCTGTTATTTTTGGTACATATTCATAAAACCATGTGCAAATTTTGCACAGTAACAAGTCCTAAACTGAATACTCTTCAATACCTTATCTATTTTAAAAGATTTTGCTACAGTGGGAAGAACTTTGCTAAAATTCCTCATTGATCCTTCATGACCAAAATTAGCCAAGAATTTTTCGCTGTTGAAGAGGTATAGAGAATTCTTCTCCATCCTCCATCAACCCACTGACTTCTGTGAATTTAATTTAATTTTTGCTCATGGGTTAGTATATAAATAAAAAGCTGTTTGAAAAATAAACTTAAAAATAAAAATTGTGAACATGTAAGAAATCTCTGTTACAAATTGAGCTGAGATCAGGACACCTTTGCTTTCTGATGGTTCAGGGTCCACAAACTTTATTTCATGTTGTATAAATATGTGTAAAGTTAACTTCAGGCTCCGACTATAAGATATATTTAAAATATAAATGAATTTATGTGTAGACTTGGATTCCATCTCTAAAATATTTCATTATGTACATATATACGCAAGGGTTTTTCTTAAGCATGCATATTGAAATAAATAAGAAAAGACTTTATTTGTTGCCTACGTTGTTTTTTTCTCAAAGACTTTGTGTGAATTGCAAAATTTGTTTAGATTTTTATTTGTAGTCCATATTTCAGACAGTAGGTCTACAATATTGTTCTTTCTCATGAAATACTTATCAGAATCTGAGCTGAAAAGGACAGCTTTGATGTTGAAATGCTGCAGCAAAAGTTCCTGACCAGGGAACAAAAAGCTTCTGTTCAATTTCAGTTTGCTTTCCCCTCCTAAATGCAGTGGTATTGGTTTGACATCTCACATTTTTAAATGAAATGAAGTGAGTTAGATGATGCTTGAAAAAGTTATTTTCAAGTGACTCTAGTGATAGCTACCATTTATTTATTTGCTTTTTCTAAAGATTGTGTGCAGCCCATTGTAATTGCCATTCAGTTAAAGAGAGAATTGCTGCTTATTACGTACTAAATTTGTAGTTTGCATGAAAGCTTTTTATCTACAGTATTTCCAAGGGCATTGTGTCTTTTTGTTGCCAGCTTCATTCACACCCATTCTCCCACTCATTTCCCACCATTAAGTGATATTAGCCATAGAGACTCAAAAGAGAAGAAAGGAAAAAAACACTGTAGGAACTTCAGAAGAACTCTTCAAAATATGTAGTACTTTGTGAAGGTCCAAAATCTATGTTAGTTAATAGTTGGCTTTCCTCTGTAGAAGTATTTCATAAATCCTACATCATTTTCTAAGAGTGATTAAAATGAAGGGATTATTGGTACAGTGTTTTCATTTATATCTTGGATTTCAGATAAAATTCCCTGTTCTCTAGGAATTCAAGAGGCAGAAGTTGTTGTTTTACAATATGTAAAGTATATTTGAGCCTAGAAAGCTAGAGGTTTTCTAGAAATATTGTAGAAAGCTTCATCTTAGGGTGCATCTACATTGCAGAATTAATGCAGTTTGATAGCACTTTATCTAATAAGGCTCGATGCTATGGGATCCTGGAAGCTGTAGTTTAGTGAAGCACCAGCACTCTTTGGCAGAGAAGGCTAACAACCATATAAAACTGCAACTACAAAAATTCCACAGCATTTAGTCATGACAGTCCAAAGAGGTGTCAAACATCATTAATTCTACAGTGTAGATGCACCTTTAATCTCACCTCCTTTTTCCCAGTTCCTAAGAACAAATAATAATAATTTTATACTTTTTATTTTATTTATTTACAGTGTTTCTGATCAATTAGTCTAGGCCACATGAGTGATGTCTTTTCAGTTTAAGAAAACTATTTTTAAAAAAACCAGAAACGGTAACAAGACTTCAGTCCAATATTATAAGGTCTGTTTACTTTGTGATAGTATTGGATGTTTTGTGTAATGAGTGCAGTACTGTGAAAATAATATCAGGATTTTGTCATGTGGGCAAGCAGATGGCAACTGTTGGGTGTCATATGTTCTGTATCAGAAACTAGAGCTGATCTGGTCTATCCAATGCAGTTTTCTGAATCAGCTCCCCAAATAACCAAACCAAATCTAAAGTTGACCAAAAACTGATTTGTAACTATTTTGATACTAATGTTGGAGAATGGTCCCTGGTCAAAAAAAGGTAGAGAACCACTGTCGTATAAAAAAATAGTACCTTTTCATAAGCTACTTTTAATGATTTGTGGATAGCAGTTGTGATATAGTGTTCCATTTTGTTTTGTTTTTTCTTAAGTTATTATATGATATGATTGGGGAATTGAAAATAATTACTAGAAGTTCAGAATTGGGTCTTTTGTCACCTTATGCATTGTATTTGATTTTTTGATAAATTACTTAAACATGTTTTTGTCTTCTAGGGCCAAATGTCAGCATGACTAAGAACTGACAAAGAACCTCAAGACTATCCAAACATTTGTCCCGTGGAAGGTAGAAAGGGTCCAAAGACCACTCATCTATTGTGTAACCATGGCAGATCCTTCAGCTGAAGTGCCATTTTCTATGATGACACAACCACAGCTAATCGAGGTAATGTAGAGCTTCAGAATATTTTGTATGCTGGCACAGCTGCCAAGCTTAAATTTCTGGGCTTCCCTGGCTAAGGAATTGTGAGCCATGTTAGATGGACAGAGTAGATAGTGAGTCAGCCATGGAAGAGCTGAAATTGAGATGAATTTTAAGCCTTTTTACATATCACTAAGCAGATCTCTGTATTGGACTGGTCTCTAGAGTCCAAGACAATGTAATTCTTACACCAATGCCGACAAGCTTCTGATACCAGCTTCAAGAAAAACATCAAATACACCTAGAGCTAATGCTATCTGCATGATTCCAGTATAAATAATATTTAAAGAAAGACTACTGTCTTCAGAGCATGTTATTCTTCTCAAAACCAGTGGGTTGACAGTCCAGGTTTTTAAAATCTATTATTCTTAGTTAACATATTGTACATGATATATAGGGTGAGTTGCAGGATATTACCTATATCCTGCTTTGCAGTGAAGAACTTACGGTGGTTTTGACCACACAAAAATGTAGAAGCAGTTAAGACGCTTAGTCAAGTCATTTGTGGCTTGTAAAGAGGAAGTTATTAGATGATTCAAGATAAGAGAAATCTCTGACACATCTGATTTTAAAAGCTAAGGTGAGATAAGTTTTCTTCAGATAATTCTAAAGGCATATATAACAAGTTAATAATCAGTATCTATCAGTCCATTTGGAAATTGCTTCCATTTGATGTCTGTTTACCTGGAGAGATACTTTGTATGTACTCTTTGGTCACAGGGATTCACATCCAATTTCTCTAAATGGCATTCCTCTGGTGGCAGTAAGCAGTATCATGAGGAAAATCAAGGGGATGTACAAGTAAGTTATTCCACATAATGACTTTACATTCACAAAATGACACACCATTTGTAGAAATAGCAGTGTGAAGACAGACCCATGCAATATCAGAGAAGGAGCATGTCTTGCATTGTTTTATTTTCTGGTCTTATAGAAGTTAGCATAGTCAACACTTTTGCACTTCTGCCCTTATTATAATAATTGTGAGACCTCACAACCTCTGAGGATGCTTGCCATTGATGCAGGCAAAATGCCATGAGAGAATGCTTCTAGAACATGGCCATATAGCCAGAAAAACTTACAACAACCCAGTGATTCCAGCCATTAAAGCCTTTGAAGTTTTCACACATTTTTTCTTTTGTGTGACAACGCTTAGAATTATTTGTATTCAAGATGTATGCTTTAGCCTTGTGAAAGTCTGTTTATTTAGTTGTATATTTGTTTACTTTTTTTCCTGGAGAGATCCAAAAAAGCAGGAAAAACTTTGAATCAATGTTCTTTGTGTTTGTATATGTTTTGAGCACTGACCTAACTGTTATTGTTATTTTAAGTCAATTTTGAATTGTCTGATGATTTCTGTTAAAACTGGAATCCAAAAGCCAAAAAGTATTTTGAATCAATATTTTGCATACTCACTTTTCACAAGTATTTCTTTCACAGGTAAGTGAGGAGCATCTGTGCAAAAAGCGGCCAACGCTTATAAATAGAACAAGAGGAGTTGTTGTGATTATTCTATTCAACAAATGATAATTCCATTTGCAAAATAATAATTTGGCCCTCATACTCAATTAACGTTCTAATTATCACAATGTGAACTCCATTTGAAGAATTTGCTGTGAAATTTATGGAAGCAACACTTTAGAAATCTGACACTATACATTTAGGATTTATTAACTCTTTCTTAAATAAAAAGTTAAGAATATTATGACTGCCTTGTGTCTATTCCATTTTCTCCCTTCCTGAAGTTTTTCCCCCCTTTGTACCAATTTTCACATTGCATAAATAGTAAGGAAGGTCAACACCCTCTTTGGTTTTCTCCTTGCACTCTGTGGAGTTTTGTATTCATAGCTTCCAACAGGGGCTCTGGATGTTTGTAATCATAGCTTCCAACTAGGTTTCTGACCTTCCTGACACACACAGTTGTTTCCACAGCCTTTCAGTTCCTAAAATTCCTTTTTAACACATGGTTTTAAGAATTTCCTTTGCCAGGCCAGATTACCTCCTTTGACAGCTGGTACACATCTTCCATTGAATTGCAAATGGGAGAAAATAGATGGTAGGATTTTCTTGACTTTTTTAGTCCTTGCAAATGTAAATAGCGCTCTACTACTGAAATTAAAATAATTTGCATGTCAATTCTACACAAGTTAAAATGAAGATATTCAAACAATAATTTTATTTTGTTTTATTTTGTGTAAGCATAAAAGTTAGACTGCAATATCTAAAATTACTTTCTTTTGAGAGTTCAACCCTTTGACCACATCTTTAACAGCATTTTAAATGAAGAATTGGTTTGCTTCCAGTTAATGACAAACTGGATCATGTAGTAGATAATCTGCATGAATGAAGTATGGTAGAAGTTGAGGTTTTGTACCTTTACTGTATTTGCCTGAAGCAAATCCATTTTTGTGTCCTGTATGTATTCTTGAACATCCATAAATGTTCAAGTATAAATGTTTTTGGATCTTGGCATCTAGTTGCAAGCTTATCATAAGTCTTTTAGCTAATCTATTTTCTCTGTTAACAAAGAAGCAGAGATAAATGACTAATTCTTAAATGAACCTGTTGGCTTTTCAGCTTCTGTCTATCTGGAAAAAAATTAAGAAATTATATCTAGTTGAACAGTATGGATGAGCAAATACAGTATGGATGGTCTTCCATAAAATACTGATTTTGACATTGGCCAGTTAAGACTTTTTACAGTTATTAGAAAATGAATTTAATAGATTTAATCCTTTCTGTTATGAGGTGTCTTTCACACATTAGCTTCTCTAACTAGATAAGAGCATAAGGCAACGTGTATTTGAGAATATATGGCAACAATACACACATAAACTACTTTAGTAGTTTCTCCCTCTCCTTAGAGAACCCATGGAAATGTATTTCTCTTAAGATGGGGCTAGAGGTTATTGATATACCATGCTCAGCAATGTCATTGGAGAACAACCTTCTGCATTTTTCTGGAAAAAGTAAACATTTAAACTGGAATAAATCAGCTATGTTCTAATGCAGACATTCATGTGATCTAGCAAGAAAGACAGTATTGATGTGACACTTCATTAGCTGAATTTTAAGTTTCTATATGTTGTAATTTATACAAAAATCTATTTACATCTCAAAAAGCCAAGTAGTAAACTACTCAGAATTTTTGTCTTGGCATGATGCTGTGCAAAGATCACCAAGGCATGTGAGAAGGAATAGGGGAAAGATGAATTTCACCTTTCCCCTTCTCTCTTTGCACCAGTGCTACTCTCACAACTGTCCAGATCACATTTAAAGGAATTGGAGGTGGGATAAGGCACTGAGAATTTCTTTCTTTGTCTCAGATTTCAATTTGTGGATAGATGAGTTTCCTTTGAGATAAAGCATTGTATTTTGAGCTGCACTGAGTTTCTTTAGCTTTTCTACTGATTTAAAATACTTGTTATGGTAATCTCGCAGTACTATGTGGAACAAATTTGGTAATGTTCAGATAATTACCAGTAACTGCAGATTTCGCGTATGCTCTCTCTGTCATAAATTGGACTAACTCAGCTCCCTCTAATTTACCTAGCACACAAGAAATGCATTTTCCAGAGTTATATTAATAATCATAGCTTTGATGCAGGCCTAAAATGTAATTACAGTGAGATGGTCTCACTTTTCTCAATTTTTGATTTGTATGTGTGTTCAGCTGCCTTTTCAAGTTTTGTTTTTCTTTCTTCTGCTATTGCAGTACACTCCATTCACTTTCAAAATTGTAAGTCTGTTTTCTTCTTTCTTTTCAGTCCACAGCCATGAGTGAACCTCAGTGTTACTACAATGAGACCATTGCCTTCTTTTATAACAGAAGTGGAAAATATTTAGCCACTGAATGGAACACTGTGAGCAAGCTTGTGATGGGCCTTGGGATTACAGTATGTGTCTTCATCATGCTAGCCAACCTCTTAGTTATGGTGGCTATCTATGTGAACCGGCGTTTTCATTTTCCTATTTATTACCTTATGGCAAATTTGGCAGCTGCTGACTTCTTTGCAGGGCTGGCATATTTTTATCTAATGTTTAACACGGGACCCAACACTAGAAGATTGACTGTGAGCACGTGGCTCCTTCGTCAGGGCCTCATTGATACTAGCCTGACAGCCTCTGTTGCCAACCTGTTGGCCATTGCCATTGAGAGGCATATCACTGTGTTCCGCATGCAGCTACATACGCGGATGAGTAATCGTCGAGTAGTAGTGGTCATCGTTGTCATTTGGACTATGGCTATCGTTATGGGCGCTATACCAAGTGTCGGCTGGAATTGCATCTGTGACCTCACTCACTGTTCCAACATGGCACCACTCTACAGTGACTCTTACTTGGTTTTCTGGGCTATTTTCAACCTGGTCACCTTTGTAGTCATGGTGGTCTTGTATGCTCATATCTTTGGATATGTGCGCCAGAGGACTATGAGAATGTCCAGGCACAGCTCTGGGCCACGTAGGAATCGGGATACCATGATGAGTCTTCTGAAGACTGTGGTCATTGTGCTTGGTGAGTACCTTTAACAGAATGTTTCCATATCATTTTCACCATGGAACATAATGAAGATCCCTCTACTCATACACTTTATAGAAATGCTATATGCTGAAAGGGTTTTATAATACAAATAAATCCTCAAAGGACATGTACATTGCCAAGCCCACAGAAATATTTGCCCTTTAAGCAGTACCTACATCTGTGATGACTTAGTCTGGATTCTGTCAAATCATACTCGGTTTTTTTGAGATGAATAATAGCTTTTCAATATGCTTTTCTGTTTTTATATCTGTGGTGAGCAACTTCTAGATTGTGGTGTGGGCTATATTTATTACTGGAACCTACTGGGGACCACCATTTCATTTTCTGCCATAGTGAGGATAGTAAGTGTAACATTTATCCATGTGTCCTGTCCAATTCAATCTTTATTGTGGAGTCGCTGACCATTAAAACACAGTACAAAAGGTAAACACTATAAAACAGATAGAAGTGGTATTAGGTTCTTGTGGGTTTTTTCGGGCTATAGAGCCATGTTCTAGAGGCATTTCTCCTGACGTTTCGCCTGCATCTATGGCAAGCATCCTCAGAGGTTGTGAGGTCTGTTGGAAGTAGGAAAAATGGGTTTAGCTCTTCTATCATTTTGATAGTAATTGTTAAGTTTCTCGAAGGTGTGTGCTGAGGTTTTTATAAATATTTACACATCAGCTCCCATTACACAGTGGTATTGTTGCAGCAGTTATCTAAAATGTTATTCAGTTATTTAATACATTTAACATAATGGAAAGGGGGAGACAAACCGAAAGTTTTACATTTGTGTCTGAATCACAATCAACTACATTTTCAATACTGACAGTAAAAGAAAAACTGTTTTCCTGATCTTATAAGACAAAAGATTTATAGGTTGGTTAGTGTTAGTCACATCTCATATCAGTGTGAGCATCTCTGAGTAATAGTAGTAGCTCTTCTATCATTTTGATAGTAATTGTTAAGTTTCTCGAAGGTGTGTGCTGAGGTTTTTATAAATATTTACACATCAGCTCCCATTACACAGTCTTTCCTGGAAAAATACTCTTAAGTACTCCACTTTCCATTTCAGTCAATTAAAATATTTTCTCTTTGTATAATTACCAATGTTGTACAGGATAAAATGAATTAATTTTGTTCTCTGGTATATAAAGCTCAAATTGGCACGTTTTGGCAATATACTTGGTAATGTGGGATGTGAAATAGCACATTGAAATGTTATTTGATGGATGTATTCAATAATCTGTGACATACAAAATATAAACCTAGAATATTCTTTATAGAAAATATTATGTTGTCAAAGTCATTGACTCTTAGAATGCCTTATACCACTTACTTGATGCACATGGGGCTTATTTACATCAGCGAAATTAGGTGCAGTGGGAATGAATTGACTCTGTGGCATTCACATAACACACAGGGTCAATTCACCCAAATTGACCACCATCCCTCACCATTGGCCATGATTGTTGAGGCTGATGGAGACTGTAGTCCAACACAATTTGGAAAGATGGCTTTGATTTGTATTTTTGCAGATAATATGGCAAGGGCTATTGGGCTGTGATATTCAGTTGATAATTTAGGCTGCTGTTTTTCCTCATTGTGTTAATAGGTAGCTAAGGTAAAACTAGCTAAGCATTTCAATACTAGCTGTTCGACATTAAGTTGGAATGAAAAGGCAGGATATACATACATTTTTCACAAATCTTATATATAATTATTAGGGGTAAGCCTTCTTGAGCTTGATGGTTTATTCTTTTGAATAAACATGGTTATAGTTGCATTGGAGAAAAATCAGTGAATTCTAAATGTAATCTTGCAAAAGAGTTGCCTGGTTTTTCAGTTGTGTTAACTGCTTTTAAATAATTACTGAAATAGCGAAAAGAACACCTGAATACAGCATCATCTATTTTCATGCAGTTTTTATTTAGATATATATGACTATGATCTCAGGCAGATTATTTTGTTTAGTGTAAGAGCATGGAGATTCAGAATCCATCACTAGATTAGCAAAAGAATGTAAGACATCCTGCACTTCGTGAAAGCAAGGCCTCTAAATGTGTAATTCTGTTGCAGCTTATCAAGTTGCATTGGATTCTTCCCAACTGAAATGTTTAATAGAGTTTCCCAAACAGAAGGTTAACCTGCCAATTATCCTTCATAGTCAGAAGGCTGCCATGATTAAAAGAGCAAATGAATGGAAAATTCAGTATCCCACTGCTGGCATTTCTTTCTATACAGCACGAATGGCAACGTTAGCAGCCTGTCTCTGCCAAAACTCTTATTTCCTGGTCCTGGAAAAGCTAAATAGACCTAATATATGCTCTCAGACATTCATGTGGAAAAGATTACTGAATGTTTATCCACATGTTGCATGCATTTTTCCAAATAAACGTGGGGCTTTATGCATTAGTAAACCTTGTATACAATTCTCTGTAGAGAAAAAGTGCACACAGGCAGCTATAGTGACCAAACACCAGCCTGTTACGTCTGAGCCTAAGACAAAATGAAGTATCTCGCTTTGAAGTGGAAGGAAAGGAGTAATATTTGTATTCTTATAGGCAAAATGTCTTCAGTGAGGTCAGCATCTAGGCTTTAAGTACTCCAAATCTTCCTAACTTAGGGCCCTTCCAAACAGGGACCTAACTGGCACCCTTGTGTGAGGCAACAGGACAAGGCAGCCTGTTGCACCCCAGCCAGAGTTTACCTTGCCCTTAGCACCAACCAGGAATCCAAAAGCAATAGTTAAACAGTTTATTGAAGAGAGTACATATATAAAGAGAAAAATCACCAAAAGGAATGAGAAAGGCAAAATCCAACGGGTAATCAGTAAAGGTAGTCAATAAGTAAAAGCCCAACCAAACTGGGGAGCAAAAGCAATAATCCATATAATCCAAACAGTATAGGAAAATAAGAAACATAACATGAGCATAATCCAAGGAAACAAGAATCAATACTTGAACATGAATCCAGAAAAACCAATAAGATCTTCTTAAAACACGAATCAAAACTCCCAGGAATGTATCTTTCTTTTTATAATTTTAGAGACTAAAAGCATGAATTGGAAACAGGATTTGATATCCTTACTGTTACGCAGCGTTGCCTGATCTGAATTTCCAACAAGACGCTCTCTAATTTAAGGGCTGCAAAATATAAAGGCATTTCTTTGACCTTGACTTTCTGTCTTGTGAAACTTTCTTTGGGCTTCTTTTTCAGAGACTTTCATATTTCCTGAGCTTGATGTCTAGCCCAGCTGTTCCCTCTTGGTCTGCAGGTCTTTATCAGGTTGCTAATCTCCTTGTGGGCAAAGGTCATCTCCTTGCTGGACTCCAAATGGTTCCACTTTCAAACAGAATCTTGCTCTGAAATCCCCTCATTTCCCTCGTCGTCCTCCACTCTCCCTGGCTATGAAACCCCAATCCCCTCATCTTCATCTGTCTGAATCACAACACTAGTCCAGCCATGCAAGAGCTGGTTCAGCATAGTTGAGCATGGAGAAGGATTTTACCCCACCCCATGCCAAATCTACCACCCCAATCCACCCCTCCAAAAAAGCAAGAAAGTTTGTTTTTCGGGAGCGGCTTAAATAGCTTGGGTATGTTTAGCCTGCAGAAGAGAAGGCTGAGAGGAGACACGATGGCCATGTATAAATATGTGAGGGGAAGTAATAGGGAGGAGTGAACAAACTTGTTTTCCGCTTCTCTGGAGACTAGAACGCGGAACAATGGCTTCAAATTGCAGGAAAGGCGATTCCACCTGAACATTAGGAAGAACTGACTGATTGTAAGAGCTTCCTGACTGTAAGAGCTGTTCAGCAGTGGTACTCTCTTCCCCGGAGTGCGGTGGAGGTTCCTTCTTTGGAGGCTTTTAAACAGAGGCTGGATGGCCATCTGTCGGGGATTCTTTTAATGCCATTTTCTTGCTTCTTGGCAGGGGGATGGACTGGATGTCCCACGAGGTCTCTTCCAACTCTATGATTCTATTTTCTTTTCTGGCACTATCTGCCTTTCTTGCTTCTTCATCAAGCAAAGCAGGTTGGGAGCTGTGAGCCTCCTTTCCTCATCCAAAGCTGCTGGGCTCATGGATTCATGAGTCGCCTACATCCCAATCAACTGCAGAACAGATCCATGCTGCTCACAGTGGCTGGTGCCCAGTATTTCAGCATTGTGAGACATTTACAATCCCTATGTATTCCTTACACTATTAAATCTATATAAATAAAAATTGAATGTTTGTTTGTGGGATTAACATAACTCAAAAACCACTTGGCGAATTGACACCAAATTTGGCCACAAGACACCTATCAGGCCAATGAGTGACCATCACTCATAAAAACACTGAAAAACACAGCGGAAGAGACTTAAAAAGCAAAAAACAAACAAACCCCGCCATTATAACATATGCACATAATCACATAAATACACATATACACAAATATATACACACATATATACACACAAGACACATATATACACAGACTGGGCCACAGCAACACGTGGCAGGGGATGGCTAGTATATTATGGATGTGTCACTCTAGGTTACACATTCATGACCATGATTGCAAAGTGTAGCAAACAACAGTAGTGAGTTTGTAAGATAGAAGATTTAATAGAAACCATCAGTGCTTGCATACACTAGAAACTTTAATTTTCTAGTGTATGGTCATAGTGATTGTCTGTGCAACCCTTCAGAATGTATTTCTAACATATTCCTTCATCCACTCAGATATACAGCAGAGCAGTGTGTTTAAGAGGTTCAATGCCATCATTTTTCAAGTCCCTCTGAATCCATTTAAGCCCACACCATAACTCAAAACAAGTTCTCTTTTTCTCCATCCCTTTCTAATATAGCTGAGGGTGGGGTGGGATGAGGGTCTTTTGAATGAATGGAATTTATTTCCATCCTCTCTGCACTTGTACAAGGGCCAAACAAATGAATCTTGTTTATCTGCAAGCAGTAAATGAATGACATTGTGTCTCCCATCCCCTTAC